TGAGGTTGCTACTGAACTGCAGATGTGTGGCGATGCTTGATGTCTGTAATCCTTTCTGATTTCCCACCCCTCTCTAGACTTTTCTGTCCCCTGTGGGGAACTTACTAAACCCTTGTATTATGGAGACTAGAATCACAGTCAGTAGTGCAAGAAAATATCTTTGAGATCATATTTCATGTGCCTTCCAGGGTCTGATATAATTTCCTGATAAGAATATACCAGACATTAACTAGATACTGCAGCTGGTCTTGTCTCTTTCTAATTTAGTGGGATTTGGGCATGCAGACCAGAGGGAAGAGAGCTTTTTTTCTAAGTGCAGCAATGCATACTTATTTGGAACAATTCAATCCTATTCAAAACCAGCATTCCATGTCTGTCCTAACCTAAAATTCAGCTGGGTGTTATAATAGCTCATTGTTTGATGCAAGCACAGAGCACCTGTAAAATTTAAGATTGTTATCATTTCTCAATTGAGAGATGAATGGAGAAAGTTGTATTTTATAGTCATATACAGATTATGGAATAAAACATGTATAGCCTGTTTTAAATATAATGTTATATAAATAATATAAATATTGATTAAATATTATAAGTATTAATATACACATGAAACCCAAAAAATTGTTTGCATTTTTAAGTGTGGGAAAAGCAACCTCCAAATTTACAGGTTGGTTTTGGCTTTTTTTCTTTTAACAAACTGAAAAAAATGCTGTTTGTTTATTGCTAACAATTTTTGAGAAAGAAAGGGCAAAAACCAAGCCAGCTTTGAAATACATGTCACAATTGAGGAAAATTAGAAAGCAGCAAGATCCAGAATAGCAGAAGTATTTGGGAAAGTGATACTGTTTTTCATTCAGGATCTCAAATGCTTGAAGGCTGTTTTTCACAGATTTGGGGTTTGCCCAAAGATGTTCAGTGTATAAGTTAGAATCTATGTTGATAAAAGGAAGCATCAAGCAATGAACTGCACCATGATGTCAGTCTTTATGTGGAAGAAGCACTGTGAAAACTCTCTTGTTTCAAAAAAAAACCCCAATACTCCAGGTACAAGGGTAACTTTGAGGTGTTGCTTTCATATGGCATTCAGTGGGGTAGCTGCAGAGTAAATGTGTCAGTTAGGGCCATTGCCACAAGGAACAGTTCTGTGCTCTGTACAGGGAACACAACACTCATACCTGTGAAGCACCAATACCCGCTGTTTCCCTCTCCTCCTCAGAAGATGACAGTAGATGTACTTCTGACTTCCTGTAGGATCAAAAGGGAATTATATTTATTCACTTGATCAGAGGCAAAGCAGGCTGCTCTCTATGAAAGGTTTCTCTTGCTGTCTGTGTCACTCACATTCACTTATTGAAATGTTATGACTGAGTGGAAATCAGCTATAACTGATGTTGGCCACTATGTTACTTTGATAAAATAATAAAAATCATCAGTAAGGGCCAAAAGTCATGAAAGGTGAGGACCTCCATTTCCTCTTGGCTTGGTGGGGATATTTTAAAAATTGCCTTATAAAAGGGAGAAAAAATGGGATTGTGCCCTAAAAATCTCTGGTATGAGGTTAGCAGATATTTTATGTTTAGGTGAAAGCAGGTCTGAGTAGCAAGTCTTCTGTTTCAGTCCCAATTTGCAAACTGCCAGGTCCCTGCAGGCTCTGGTGGAGTCAGTCACACAGTTCCTGAAAAAACTGAACGGCTGCAGAATTGGATCTTGGGTTACCATTTCATTCTAGAGGGGATTTGGTGGTGTCGTCAGTCCAGTAAGCTCAATTTTTATGCCATCACATTTTATTTGACACTAAACTAAAACAGCTGCTTGCAATTAGCACACATGAAAGAAACAATAACAAAACTGCAGCCTGCCCTTCAAGCACTACACATACTCAGTGCAAAGAGTTTACCTAAAGTTCTGGTGATTTTCCCTCCCTCTGCTCTAACTGAAACATTGAAAACAATTGATCTCACTGAAAACCAAATTAAAAAAAAATGTTTATTGCTCCCTGAATGTTTCTGATTGGCAGCAGTGACTGGTTATTGGAGAATTTAGGCTGCTCCAGATGTGGGCATGAACAGGACTCTCGCTGCTGCGGAGCTGATCTAAGCATGAAGTTAAAGGGAGGCAATGGCTGTTGCTGCCCTGGGACAGGATGATGTAGAGAGCTGGTTTCTTACCAGGACTGGGATCCAGGGCAGCTGGCCCACCCTCCCATTGGGAACAGTGAACAAGGAGCTTGTAAAATACACAGACCAAATGGAAATGACCCCTACTGACTGAAACCAGCTGCATGTCAGACCTCTCACTGTCTCTCTTGATTTGCTATCTCAAATAAATGGATGTGGTAGAAGGGCTACAGAGAGAAAACAAAATAATTTATTCTCCTTGAAGTTTCACCACACTAGCAAGCTTCAGTTTTTACAGCTGAAAAAAAATGTTTATTCACAGATTAAGTTTTTCCCTCTTTTTTTTTTTTTTTTGCTTTGAAAGTCTGCAGTTTAGAAGACATACTGTAGCTCAGTTTCAGAAGTCTTTGACAAATAGACATGGTAGATTTTGTAAGGTATTTGTCATATAAAACTTCTGGCTAATGAGAGCTTGGTTGTTTTGCATTTAGATTCAGAAAACAAAGTTATAGCAGCTTTTGTTGGTGCTGTGTCTTAGATGTGCATGGTGGCTCAGCTCCATGAAAAACATCTTAGTGAGTTTTGAAGAAACATGACACAGAGAAAGATTGGACTTATTGATGCATTTTCCCTGTTTTTTTCCTAATATGCTCCTGGGTAATACCAGTTATTCTGAGCATTATGAGGAGCTGCTTGAAGTAACCATGGTAGCATTTGAATTCAGCAACAGTTAAGGACAACAGCTTCTCCAGTCCTCCATTTAATGCCCAGGATGGGTTACTGCTATTGACATTAGACTGCCCTCTGTTCTGACTTCAGAGGTAGAGGAGGCACTTAACCTCACTGTCACCTTTGATCTCTCATTTTGAGAAGATTGTCAGGATGGGACACATCCTTTAAAGGAAACTTTTAAGAAGTTTCCTTTAAAAAGTCTATCAAACCATATCAGTTATGGTTTGATAGACTTTTTAAAGGAAACTTCTTAAAAGACATCAGTCTAGACTTCATTCTCACAAACTCGTATACTAATGTGTTTTGCAAATATATATATATTTTTTTTTTAAGTCTTGGTCAGCCAATTGATTATTAGTGAAAGAAGCCACCAAATTTAGATTAATAGATCTATTAGAGTGTCTTGGTAGAATGACCTTCATGAAGTCTGAAAAAACATGTGGATACAAAAACTTGAGGATGACACTTTGAAGTGAATGTTACTTCTTTTGCCTTCCACAACCTTCTATTTTCCCTCTATTTTTTCTTTTATTTTTTTCCCTTAAGAATTTGTTCCTTTCTCACTAACAGTTGTACAAACACAATACAGTAACAGCTTTGAAAATAGAAGACTTTACCTGTGGCCTTGCAGTGTTGCAACAGCCAGATGTTATTTCAATACAAAATAGACTGCACTCCCCATCTGCAGGTTCTGAGAGTCCTGTCAGTCACTATTTTTGCTTTAAAGACAGAACCAAAATGCAGTTCAGCCTGGCCATTGTTCCTCTGCTGGCATTTTTTGGCTTATAGGATCTTCTGACAATCATCTGTGACCAACAGATAGATATTGCTATGGGGAAAGACTCACCTCTGTGCCTCCTACCATTCACCTCTCTGGCTCCTACACTGCATTTTTTATCTGACTGAACTCAGGTGAAATCTCCTACAGATGAGTTCTCTGCTATTCATTCTATCCTCTGGCTGGATATGATGTAGTTTTTGAGTTATTCAAATTGTGCTGGTTTGGCATCAAGTGATACCATGCACCTCCTTCCTTTCTTTTTTATCTTAACATTTTCTGCTAATTACTTGCATTAGTTAGAGTAAATCAATTTACTTCTTTGAAAATATAGAGCTAAAGAGGTCTTGGGTGGCTGCCTGTAGATAATGTTCTATGTTGAGCAAGAAGCAGAACCATGGATGTGAAGGAGGTTTCGATGGGTTTGGAAGAAACTCTTCTCCTAGCTGGCATCTGTGAGGCTCTACCTTTGGCACACTCTTGTAGGAGGCCAGTGATTCCAGTAGTCCAAGGGTCAGATGACACCAGCAAGGTGTTTGTATGCCAGTACAGCTCACGGCTTTGGGATGACCCTGTAATTGTGCTGAAAGGGAACTTTTTTACTCTGTATTTCCGCAATATCCTTTGTACACAAAGGCCCTATGCTGCAGTCCAAAATGTTTCAACCTTTCCCACTGTCTTTTAGTTCTGTTCAGGTAAAAGTGAACAAATCCCACTGTTACTAAGGAAAGTTTTGCTCAGGTCAGATTCCAGGGCCCAATCCAGTGACATGTGGCGTATAAAACAGAGAGAGGTTAGCATGTGATGAAAGGACAACCCACACTTGAACTTTTCATCAAAGAAGGAGGATCAGATTGAGGCCATCCTCATTATTTTCCCTTCTTTATGATGAAAGAACAGGTTGGGTACTAGTACAAGAGAATTTGAAAAACATGTAAATATTAATATATTTTTCAATGAGTCTTTTAATAATATCTGAAGTAAAAACAAGATGGGCATTTTGTTGTGTCTTTATTTTAATCATACTTTCATTTTTAAAAGTTGTGAGAATACAAGCTTGTTGAAGGTAACTCTCCTTAGCTGACCAAAGAGAGAGAGTTATATTTCCTCAGAAGCATAGTAGGAAATGTGTAACTGTTAAATTTCAATTCAGACATTTTAATCTTTAAATACTTGCAGTGGAAAACTAGATTAGACCCCAAAAATATGTTCTTTTTCAAACTGAAGTAAGATGCCTTTTAGCAAAGGAACAGCAAGAGAAAAACTAAGTAAATCTCAAAACACAGGACGGGGCACCGTTTCTTGCCACAGCATTTCTGATTGGTCAGATCACCATGTACGAATGTTGAATTTTCTGCCTTGTTGCGTTCCAGAGATTGAAGGCAGCACTGACTCATCATCCTGCCGCCATGTCGAATGGGAATATGAACACCATGGGCCACATGATGGAAATGATGAGCTCGCGACAGGACCAGACACCACACCATCATATGCACTCACATCCTCATCAGCACCAGACACTGCCACCTCATCATTCATACCCACATCAGCACCAGCATCCGGCACACCATCCTCATCCTCAGCCTCATCACCAGCAGAACCATCCCCACCACCACTCCCACTCGCACCTCCACGCACACCCGGCACACCACCAGACCTCGCCGCACCCACCGCTGCACTCGGGCGGACAAGCACAGGTAGACCGTCGTGTCCTACTGCATCTCTGAGTTTTGCTCTTGGGTGGAGTTAAAGCCTGATCTCAGTATTGTTTCTTCTTGCATGCATGTCTTGTTAGATACAAACCCGTTGGGCTGCTAGCAAATGTCTGCTAATGGGGATGCTCAAACTTTATTTAGAAAATGGAGTGAAGCAACAACATGTTTTGCTGCCTAATTTACTAGACATTTGTAATTTCTTACTTTATAAGGAGCTCCAAGGCTTTTCAGTTCTCTGAGCTCTGCAGATTGCCACATATCCTTTTATGGATGAGGTTTATTACAGAGATTGGCACATTATATATGTTGCTTAATGTGCTTGAACCTGAACTTCCCAGGCCAAGATTTAACAAGCTTTATGAGTTCTACCTGGAGAAATACATAACAAAGTCTTTATGAAATGAAATGGCACTGGTGTGTGTGGCCAGGGGTAGTATTTAAGACTGGAGATAATAGAGGTAGTTCTAATTAAGGATACACTGGCTTGGAAAGGATTAATTGATCCAGACCTTGTGAAGAGGACAGACATCTGCATAGTATGAGAGAAAGAATAGCTGTGAGTGCAACCAGTACTTGGTGCTTGTGGCAGGAGAAGGAGGAGGATGAAGCCCGTCCAAGGAGAGAGATTTAAACAAAGAAGGCAATTTAGACTCGTATTCATGTGACAAGTCAGTGAAGGTCTCCACTGAATGAGATGGAGGACTAATTTTTTTGGACCAGGTATATCGGGTTCAGCAATTTGGATAGTTCGTTATCTGAAGCGAATGTTTCTTGAACTAATGAGCTAGTGAGCACAAACTTTAGCAGAGTCATTTTTAAGAGGAATTCTATTAATGTCTTAAGATGTTAGGCTTCTGCATCAGGATCACACAAGAAAATAAAGCTTTGGAAGCAGTTACTGTAACATGTCAGGTCTGGAGAGCAATGTTGAGGAAGACAAACAGGCAGTGCATGGAATGTGAGGACAAAGAGGAATGCCAGCCATAAGAAGTTCAATCTGTGAAGTATTGTGTTGCTTGCAAATACCTTTCAGACAAGCTCTTAGAAAACATTAAAGAAAATGAGAGTATTTGGCTGGCATCCCAGTGTCCCACAACATTAACTATTTACTAACATCTAGCTTTATTACTGCAGAGTCTGCAGCACATGGAATCTCCCTAAAGTATTTGCTAATGTAAAATGAATTGTCAGCTTTAGAGAAACAGTCTAAGTAAGAGCAGCAGACTCCCCTGTGAGAGGATGTCCATAGCTTTCCTAAGTTTACTTCAGTTTTTACTTTGTGAATTCAATTATTTTCCCATCTGTTAATGAGTTATTTTCCTTGGAGTTGTTTAAAAACTCCAATAAGCAGACATCATCTTGTATCAGAGAAACCAAAAGTAACCTGATTGCTGTATTGGAGATCACTGAGAGAGTAAGGATAAAGTTGTGCTTAGCCAATTGAGGACTCCATGGATGAGATGGCAGAAGCCACTTAACTTTCACTGAGGGGTAAAGAGGATAAACATGTTAATGCAGTTGAGGTCATCAGATCCCATGGTATGGAGCACTGCTGCAAAACATTCACAGCACTACTTTAAACAGATGAGGAGAAAACTACTGGGGAAAACAGCTACCAGGGGAAACAAACCTCACAGTTTTAAGGACAAGATCAGTGAGCCAATGGCCTTCCTCTAGACCACTTGGACAGGGACCTTGACTTTCTTACACAGTTAGGACGGCTTCAGCTTCTTGTGCTTTGTATTCCCTGCTAGCTGGCACCACAAAAGACTCTCAGGCAGGCAAGAAGACATACCCCACACATGGGTAGGTGGATGATTAGCAGCCACACAGCTGTCAAGGTCCCTCTGTGTTCAGTACTACATGGTCTCTGGAGCTGGGTCTGTGCAGTCAGATGAGCTTTGCCATGCACAGTATGTCACTGGAGGCAACAGATCCCATGGGAGATCAAGGAGATCTTCCCCTTTTCCGTGGGTGTTAGTATCACCAAAGGGATCAGACAGAGGGTGATGGAGTAGGAATCCCAGGGTCAGTGGCTTCCCCAGGCAGCAGAGTTCTTGTTGTGCATCTGTTCCTCTGGTGCAAAGGCAATAGTGATTTCTGAACAGATGCACTGGAGGGGGGAAAAGAAGGGCTTGCTAAGTAATAACCACATAGTTATTACTTTCAAAGCTCATCCATAGTCCCCATGGTAATGGCCTCTTTGGGGATCAGATTGCTCCAGCAGACGTTAATTTTATGGTGCGATTTTCTAATTATTAACCTCCTTATTCTTCTGAGCCAGATTCTTCCATTCCAAACCACCTGCCACATGACAGCATGGTCCATGCTGCTGTAAGCTGCATACTCCCATGCCGAGACTGTTGTTATTCTGCACCGTGCCCTTCTGTAATGTTAGAATTAATTTCATGCTTTTCAGCTACCAGTTTGATACACAGGAGCCCAAGGCATTATGTTTTCATAGAATGAGTGAATGGGTATTAGTATTGTGGTAAATTGCAAAGAACAGAAGTAAATATTGGATAAAAGTAGAAATCAGCTTCTGAGAAAGAGATCTATCTGAGAAAGAGAGATATTTTACCAAGTTCTAGCTATGCTGCCTCAACTACTACAAAAATTATAGTGTTATTCTGCATTGGTCCTCTAAAGTTTTTTTTATATCAAACTTGGTAGAGTGATAGCTCAAGCGGAGTTGGAGTTTGGATGCCATTTCATTCTCTTAGCTATCCTATGTTTGTCTTCATGATGGATACCTGATCAGCATCCTCTAAGAAGACCAAAATTAACTTACATTTTTATATTTAGTTCATTTGCTTTCTTATGTCCTAGGCAGGGCAATGAAATCCTGCTAGAAAATGATGCTTAGACGGTTACTAAGATATAGTCTAACATATTTCAGGGTTAAGAGCTATCAAGTAAGAGTCAGTTAATTATCCCATGTGACATTATTAGTGGAATAATGGCAGCCCTTATAATTAATATCTTCCTGAGATGGAGAGAAGATTTTGTTGTTCTGAAAATGCACTCTGAAAACCCAGACACTGCCTGGTATATTTTGAAAACAAATCTACTCACTAGTTATTCAGGAGAAAATGACCACATAAGAGAAATTATAAAAAAAAAAATTGTATCATTACCTTTTTCTGCCTTTGTACCGGATTTCACTGAGAGAGTTAAGAAACAAGAATTTTTAAAGCTGAATGAGAAAGGAGCAAAAAGGGATAAGGAAATATAAATAGCAGATCTCTGAAGTCTGGAAAGGTGTTATGTATGGGAAAATGAAAGGTCTTTGATGAGATGTTGACATTAAAAGTTACTTGTGAGACCTCTGCACTCAGACATGCTGTTAAAGAGGCAGCATGCCCAGCCCTGGTGGACAGGGAGCAGCTGGAATCCCTTGGCAGCAGTCTCCTGGCAGAAGGCAGGGGATGCTGGTGAGAATGGGGGATGTGCCCACTGCAGCTGCCATGGACCTGGCACTCCGACCCTCAGTGTTGGACAGCATGTTGAAGATTTTATCAGCAAACATATGAAGTTCATGCAAGCTGAAATTTAAAAAATCAGTCAGAAAATGTGGGGTGGCTTATTTATTTTAGAAGGTTATTCTTAAAAAAAACCTTTTTCTGCTCCTGTGAGAGAGATTCCCTGACGGTGCAACATAAAGCTGAGAATAAATTCAGCTTTATGCAAAAAGCGTTATCAGATGTACAGAATAATTACACATAAAATTGCCACTGTAATTGCCACAAGTCAGCAGGGGGAGGGAGCAAACTAGATTCTAGACAGAAAAGCCACCTCAACTTTGCAAGACTCAAGACGATAGTATCGTTTTAATTGAGACAGACTGAGGTGTTAGGCAAACACGTTAATTGCGGCAATTGAAATTCAGGGCTCAGTCTGACAAAGCACTGAGTGCGTCCACTCCCTGGAGTCAAAAGGAAGCACCTTGGAGGTTTGGGCCTTTGCCAGAACAGGAGGGTTAATTTTGAGTCAACAATTCCAGTTTCCAGACTGTTCCAGACTGTGCAGGAGTGGCAGCAGCAATGCGAGCTGAGTGTAAGCAACAGGATCCATGGACTGGGTTCCCAGAGCCCAAGTAGAAGGAGAGAGAAGGTGTCTCTAGAGCCCCGTAGCCTGGGTGCCACAGACAGGCAGGAAAGTAGTCCAAAAGCCTATTCCCAGGGAGTTGAACATTAAATCTGGTGCTGGTTCCTGACAGGGACGCAGGAATGTTACATCTGCCCAGGAGTCATTTGGAAAATAGTTTACATGGCACTGCCGCCACCATGCACCTTTTCTGTAATATTGTGGGCCAGTTACTCTCAGGAGCAGGACCTTGTACTTGAAAAAGCATAAATACATAACTTTTTCCATAGTTTTGTAGCAATGGACTGGATGTGGGGTTCTTATACCCTCAAAGCCAGGGATAAATTGAATAAGAATAAGAATAGTGTCAACAGCACAGAGGTCAAATGGAACCTGGTAAGAGGAATATCCCTTATCCACACAGTGCAGAGACATCAAAACATAATTTCAAGTTCAATTCATCAAAACACAGGTTCAACCTAAAGTCTTTCTTTGCCCATGAGGGGCAGTAAGGTCTTCTGCCTTTGTGCAATCCCAGCCCACAGCTTCCCAGCTCCATGCAGGCGCAAAGAGCTCTCTGCAGCTCCTGTCTCCAGAGATGGCAAAGATTGAGGTAGAGATGGTGAAGCTTGGAAAATATAAATGGCCCAAAATTTTAGGCAACTGGGGGACAAGGGGAGAAAGAGAGACACAGAAATTAGACCACTACAGTCCTCTGCTTTGATTAAGACATCCTGAGAGAAACTGGACGTTTCAGGTTTGAAATAGGTGGTGGCAGAGAATGCATCTAAGTGAATTCTTTTAAGAACTAACTCAAGGGACAAAAAATACTCAGATGATCATTTATAAAGAAATCTCTTCTTCGACAATGGCAAGGATTTGCCAGCAGCTGCTTTCAGTGGCACCTGGCGCAGCTTTTGACTTGAGCCTGTTGCAGACCTTGCTGGGGAGCAGGCAGAGTGTGTGCAATTCCCCTTGCCATTTCAGCATCCCCTTCTGTAACTTTCTCCCCTCGCCGCCCTCTGCAAAACATCTTCTTGCCCTGCAGGTTTCGCCAGCGGCGCAGCAGATGCAGCCCACGCAGACGGTACAGCCACCACAGCCGACTGGAGGTCGCCGGAGGAGGGTGGTGGATGAAGACCCAGATGAGAGGAGGCGGAAATTTCTGGAAAGGAACCGAGCTGCTGCCACGCGCTGCAGACAGAAGAGGAAGGTCTGGGTGATGTCACTGGAAAAGAAAGCAGAAGAGCTCACCCAGACAAACATGCAGCTTCAGGTGCGAGCCACCGTCTGCGCCCCTGAGGACACAGAGGGGCTCTTTGTGCTTGACTGACGGTGCCTTTGGGGCTGCCCCCGCACAGTCAGCTCCTAGTGGGAGCTCAAGCACAATCAGTCTGTTAATCAAGATGTGCGTGCTTCAATTAAAGAAATAATTACATTTTAGCGGGATAAGCCAGGAAAAAGCTGTCTTGGGATTTAGAAGCCTTCACTAGATGGAGTTGTATTTATTTTCTTTCCTTGTCACTGTTTTTTGTGGGGATTTTTTTTGAAGTGCCATTAACATGTCTGTAAAAATTTCTTCAGAGCAGGGCATATAGTTAAACCCTCGTTCAAAGCCAGCGAGAGAGAAGCACAAATAGATCAGTCTATCAGTGAGGAAAACTGGATAGATGGAAATACCATGAATATGATAATAAAAGCCTTTCTTACAGTGCTGTCCTTATGGTAGGCACAGTACTTCTGCTTCATGCAGAGGTGTGCCTGTGTGCTTCCAAGGACAGAAAACCATTTGTAGAATGGCGCTCTTCCAAAACATTCTCCCACAAAACTCAGAGGTGTGAGCAGCACCCAGGCACTGGCTGCAGCTGAGCTGTAGGTGACAGCAGTCCTGCCCCTGATCACGGCAACATGGCCTTTGCCCCCACTGGTCTGCCCCTGGCCTCATGCAGAGAGCCCCAGTATTTCCCGATCAGACTGAAACATTGCCATAAGTATCTCTGGTGCTGTGAAGTTAGTTCATTTGTCAGACTGCCTTCAGAGGTTACAAAATAATGTCACTGACAAATGTTAAAAGAAACCCAGCACACAAGCTCCTGAATGCCTTTTTTGCTCAGTTCATTCAAAGTTATGGAGCAGGTTTTATGTTCTTGGGTAGAAGCTTTGTGGAATAGAGTGGTTTAAGCTTTGTTGCTAACCAAAGTCTCTCTTTCCTCTCTAGAACGAGGTTTCCATGCTGAAAAATGAGGTAGCACAACTGAAACAGTTATTGTTAACACATAAAGACTGTCCGATAACAGCTATGCAGAAAGAATCACAAGGATATCTAAGTAAGTAGCTGGTATGTTTGCGCTGTCTCCACACTCCTCACAGGAAAGCAAACCTTTCAAATCTTCCCTCCAGAACCCTTTCTTGGTCATGTTATCACTTGAACCTGTCTTCTCAAACATCATCCCAGCCATCCAATCTCCTGCCCTTATTTATCGAGCCCCGCTCAAAACCAAAAAAGCCCTGGTTTGCATCCCACACAGCAGAGCTAGTCTTCCCCACCCCTCCTTTCGGCAAGGAGATGCACACGGATGGACGCTCACTCCCCTGTGGAGGATCCTGCTTGAACTCACAGCTCCAAACCTGCAAGAGTCCTCCTGGGCACGGCGCTGCCAGAACCTTAAAATAACTCTCAAAAGGAAAGTTAAAAAGGAAAACATTACAGTCCCCTCCAGCGAAAATGGTACTGTGCTCTGACAGTGGCACAGACCAGGCCTGGCGCAGGTTTTCAAGGTTTGTTAACTCTTTTTTAACTCTCATCTTTTTTTCTTTTTTTCTTTTTCCCAAAAATTTCTCAGTTAACAGAGACATTTAATCAATTCTTTCTAGTTGACGCATTTTGTGGGTAGTAATTTAGCGACAAATTCTCTGTTTCATTCTAGAACAGTTCAGAAGTGCCTCAGGGCTTGCTAGATTGTGACATTGTCTTAAAATAGAGCCCATTTCTGTCTCCTCTGCATCACTATGCATCTGTCTCTTTAACAGTACTCAAAGAAAAAAACACATAATTGCATTACATGCCTATCAGCTGTTGCTTGAATTAGATTTTCTGTGCTGCAGTGCACTGCACTCTAATTTTGATTCCTGCTGGAACAAATAAAGCATTTAAGCATCCCAACTGATTTTAAAGACCTTAAGATATCAGACTTTTTATCCCAACATTAGTTTCAGTTATTAAGGCCTTGGACTTTTTTCAAGACTCAACTCCTGAAGTCAGGTTGATATCAGAGAGGCTAGCTTGAAAAAAAAAAAAAGAAAACTAAAACTTGAGACAGAGAATGTTGGCTAACTGCGATTATATTTTGAAATCCTGGGCCTTGTGTATGCTTCAGGTCATCAGTATTTCCAAGAGGGTCACTCAGCCTAGGTTTTTTACTTGGATGGAAAAATGAATGTGTGTTGTCTCTGTGCCCTCATTCCCTTCCCAGGTCCCGAGAGCAGTCCTCCTGCAAGCCCGGTCCCAGCTTGCTCCCAGCAGCAAGTCATCCAGCACAACACCATAACGACCTCCTCCTCTGTCAGCGACGTCGTGGGAAGCTCCACTCTCACCCAGCTCGCCAGCCACAGAACAGACATCAACCCCATCCTTTAAAAGTGGTTGATCAGAAACTGCTGGGGGAGTGTGGTACCGTATCAAAGCGTCCTCTCTGCTAAGGACATTTGCAACCGTAACTCAAGCCTGGAAGATTCCTCAGTTCTTGAAAGACTCTGGCTATTCATTTTTATAGTTATTAAAATGTCTTTTATACTTAGTTACATGAAAGGGAGTTACGCAATTAATATTCTGTCAGCTTGAGAAATGCTTTGGTGCTTTCTCCATGTTTTTGGTACCAGTTACTTGTTTATAAACCTAACTGTTTCTGTACATAGTCATGTTTCCTTCTCACCAGTCTAGCCTGCAGCCTCAGAAATACAAAGTTGTGTTAAACTGCAGCTTGTTAGCCAATGTGAGGCATGAAAAGTATTAAACAGAGTCAAACATAGGTAACTAGGAGTAATTAGGCTATAAATATAGACCAAGGGCATCTGCTGACAGCATAATAAAAAAGAGTTAGCGTTGTGCTATCAGCAGACCGCGTCTCGCATTCAGAGCCTCTTTCAGAGCAGTTATATAGGATGTGGCTTCAGAACAAAATCAAGGCAAATAGTGTGCTTTTTTGTCCAGCCCTCCCCCTTCTCCTCTTTCCCCTACCCTGGCCTTTTTCTCCTCCAGTTATTCTCACACCTTCCTTTTCCCTTCCCTTTTCATTCTCCAGCTGGTTTTTTCCTTGCTTTTTTTTTTTTTTATTCCAAGGCTTTCTCACTTCCCTCTTTTTCTCAAAGAATGGTAATGAACAAGAAACCTTCAAGCCCACCTAAAAACTGTCGGCACGCCTGCTGCTTTCACTAGCTCTTCACCCGCAGTTGGGCTGCGCCAAGCATTTGTCTTTTAAAAAATACAAATGCTCTTGATTTAGTGTTTTTAATAAATAGGGAAAGGTGAAAACAGCGCAGCCGCAGGTGAAGCAGGATGGTGAGCCAGCTGTGTTGATGCTAGCAGCCCTGTAAGCTTCTGTGGTGCAGTAGAGGCATAGCGAGCAACACCTGAGAGTCACAGCAATTTTTTGCACTGCCAGTCATTAATGCAGGAAAATCCATGTAGTATATAATAATTCGGAAAAGTTCTGTTCCCCAACCTGGTTGCGTTGTTCTAGCAATGAAAGCTAAGAGCCTCAGGCTTCTTGGGCTATAAATGAGAAATAAATCAGTGTAATGGTTCTGACCAGTTGGAAAAATGCCATTTTTAATTCCCAGGGAAAGACCTGCTCTCTGCAGGCATTCCTTTAAACTTTCACGGACTGATCCCAAGCTGGCAGACGGCATCGTAGCTTCACTGACTTTAATGGCACTTAACACCCGCTTACCACGGGTAAGGAATTGTTCTTTAGGACGCTAAATAATTTTTAGAAGGCACGCAGTGGCTAAAAAATGCTGCAAGAATGCCAAGTCCCACACTTGGGATAAAATACAGTCCTGCAGAGAGGGTCTGGAAAAGAGCCTTATGCTACAATTAAGGTTTTTGTTTGGACTCTGAGCCTGCCCCTCAGCACAACTGATTTGCATCCCCGAGTGGTCCCAGTGATTGATGGGAAAATCAGACAGAGATGGTGCCAGTTAATTATGCTGCCTTGCTGTATATTGGGACCTGATTTTGCTCTCAAATCTGTCAGAGGCAAAACCTCCTGCTGCTCACCCACGGAGTAAGCTCCAAGCTGGTGAAAAATGTTCAAACATTTTGAGCTACATGTTCAAGAACAAAATTCACATTATTCCCAGCAAATCCTCTAGCCCCGAACACACTTTGTTCTGAAGCAAAACTCTCTTCCTCAAAGACTGTGTCTTTGGAGAGGTCATGAGTTTTTAAAGGGTGAGTCTTCTCCATGCAGAAGGGAGAGTGAAACAACTGAAGTGTGAGGAGGCTCTGTAAGGAGCAGGGCCTGTCTGGAAGGGAAAGCAAATTTCTCAGCATCAGTCATTGCCGAATTAGTTCTTATCTTGGTGACTAACTTTTTATCAGTATCCTTTTCTTTAACAGCTCGCTTTCCATTTATGCAAATACATTCAAAAGAAGATTTTTAATGTACAGTGTAAATCTTGACTTGATTATATAGTCTAAGAACCAAAAAAAATTATGAAAAATACAAATGTAAAGGATTTTCTATTATATTTTAGACAAACATATACTTTTAAAGTGTTTTAAATACTGAATCTTTAATTTTTTTTAATCTCCAGTTGTAATAGCTAAATGGTTTTGCTTCATCATGGCTCCCAAGAGAACTTTTTTCAAATATGCAGTCGAGAGAAATGTTCCAGCTGAGTATCCACTATGTGAAAAACCTAAATAAGCATTTCCCCCACATCTGAATTTCATAATTCACCTTCTAAAAGGAAATGCCATTGCAGGGTTAATTTAAAAAACTTTACCTCTATATGGGTAGCACTTAAATACATTAAAAAATAAAAATCAAAGTTGTTGGTAATATTAGAATACCCAGTTGAGCTACACTGCACTAGAATTACGGTTTAGCTTCATTTTATTCAGTCTCCTCAATTAAAATATTTAGCTGTTAAAATGAAAGCCTCTACATTAAAAAGGAAAAAAAAAAGGAAAAAATACAAAAACCTTGCCTAAGTTTTGTTAAATTCAGCAACTTGACAGTTTGACTGATGTGTATTATATATAGCTCAATTATTTCTTTTTTTAATGCTAACTAGGCAAGCCAACCACACATGTTGGCCTAAATGTGTAATTACAATGAAATGTCTCCTCTCTATACTATTGGCCTTTAGGTATAATCCTTGCTAGTGATGTGGAAATAAGTAAAGGATGAAAAGCTATTTGCTATTGCTTCTTGTAACTCTGCCGCAGGTTCACAGGCCAAGACAACATGCAGCATATTTATATCAGCTCTATCATTGGGAAAAGGACCAACCATACCAGGCACCTTATATTATTCATCAGATTTGCTTCCACATTAAAATGCTCTTGTTTTCCAGGGGAGTGATCCTGCAGCCTTTCCTCAAGCTGCTGGTCCAACCAGGCACTGGAGACTGCCTGAGCAAGGGCTGCGGGAAAAGCCCCAGCCCTCTGTCTCCAGGATATCCCTCTGCCATGTGGTCAGTGGCAGCAGCCTCTTCCTAAGCACATCACTCTAAATGCACTTCCTGGGCTCTTTCCATCAAGGAGGAATCCTGCTTTTCAGCAAGCTACTTCTGGAGACTGCTCCACTTTCCTCTTGCCCTACCAGTCCAGCCTGTTGCCAGGCTCACCAGGCTCTGTGCCCTATCCCACTGCCAGTGAAGGACAGCTCTGACCACTTCCATCATCCACTCTCAAGAGCACTTGCAGGATGATGAGCCTTGGCCAGTGCCTTGTTCAGGAGGAGGTGTTACCACACCATAGACAGCATCTCGTGGGTGTGACCTTGGAAGCAGGTTGGAAATCTCAGCCACGGAGAACTGCAATACTTTGATCAGAAAGAAATGATGCTGCAAACAGCTCTGGCACCCCCAGCCCCCCTTCCCCAAGTCAATTTATGCAAGCCATATTCATAACGCTGCCTGTGGGAGACAAGTAGTTTGTGTGCTATCATGGTGTGTTTTATAAGGACAACAACGATGATGATGATGATTTATGGAGAATTTCATGCTGTTGGGAGTTAATTCCTGCTATGAAGCTAAATGTCTGCTGCCCATATTCTGAATAGTGGAAAGTCAATGGTTCAGTGCCTCAGTGCGTGTGGATTTAGTGTTAATGACTCAGTCCTGTTAACTAACAAGCCAGCTGTAACTGTTGTTAAATGCCCAACTTTTGAGGATTCATATTTTTTTAAGCAACAATATTTAGTGGTGAAAACTAGCCTTTTAGTTTAGGCAAAATGTGCTTTTTAGCAGCTAATACCTTTTTTAAAAAAAAAGCGTATAGAGTGAATTTATGAAAATTCATGAGGACCAAAGCAATTTTAAAACAGGAATCTATTAATTTAGTATTCACATAGAATTTTATAAAGTATTTATTAATAAATGTTATTTTAACACATTCCATTTGAACAGTATTCTTGTACAGAATCTGTTTGTTGTTTTTTTCTAAAGTTACAATATTAGTTTTGCAATAAACTACTCTAGGTATGTGTGCATCTTAATCTTTCAGGTCTCAAGCAGAAGTCATCCATCTAAGATGGAACAGTTTGCTGAGGTCAGTTGTACAGAAATTCCTAGAATTAAATGTTTTCCTTAAAGCAGCATCTGCTTTTTTTTGTTTGGGTTTTTCTTTTTTTTTTTTTGTAACAATGGAACGAATTATAAACCCTCAGTTGTTTCCTTTGTATTGCAAAATGTGCTTTCTCATTTTAGAAAGCATGAGTCAACGTATAACTGGAAAGCCTGTCTCTTTTTTTCTGCTTTTTTTTTTAGGGCTGATTTTATACATCACCACAGAAGATCTAACCCCATCCTCATTTCTTGTCTAATATCACATAGTGAGTTGCACTATACTGCCTTATCATTGCCTCTTCAGTCCTCCTACTAAGCAGTGTTCCTTAGATTTAGATCATTGAAGCTCCATTATACATCAGAGAAAATTACTAGAGGGGGAAGAAGAGAAAAAAATTGATCTGTAGACATAAAACCTAAACTGTGCCTATAAAACAAAACCAGTTACAACTAATTAGTATCTTATTTCTACATTTCAATTATTTATATTCTTTTAAAATTGCACTTTAGCTCTTGCTCTCTTTCTTGCTCTCCCTTGTTGAATCATTAATAAATACTCTTGTAAAAGTTTTGCACCAGATACATTTATATGCTTTCACTGGTGGCATATCTACAACTTGTCTCTCACACCTGCCCAAGTGGAGAAGCTGAGATCAGTCAGTCTGCAGTGTGACTTAGACTTTACACCCTCTTCATGACAGCATATAAATGTTTTATTATGCAATGTGTGTGATGTGAGGCAGCATTTAAGCTACATTTATATTCTCTCATCCCAAGAACCAAAGTGTCCTGTATATCCTAAGGTCAGGAGACTGGCTCTGTTGTGCATTGTGAGGCACT